TGTGTGTGTGTGTGTGTGTGTAGAAAAATAATCTTGTGGGATTGTTAAGTACACTAAATATATAAATCAATTAAGAAGGCTAATTTTGGCCGGGCGCGGTGGCTCAAGCCTGTAATCCCAGCACTTTGGGAGGCCGAGGCGGGTGGATCACGAGGTCAAGAGATCGAGACCATCCTGGTCAACATGATGAAACCCCGTCTCTACCAAAAATACGAAAAACTAGCTGGGCATGGTGGCGCGTGCCTGTAATCCCAGCTACTCAGGAGGCTGAGGCAGGAGAATTGCCTGAACCCAGGAGGCGGAGGTTGCGGTGAGCCGAGATCGCGCCATTGCACTCCAGCCTGGGCAACAAGAGCGAAACTCCGTCTCAAAAAAAAAGAAGGCTAATTTTATTCCTATGCAGGAAAATGTATACATCTCCATCTCCTCAAGTGTTCTCAGTGTAGCTTTGTAGTTTTTTTCAGAGGCAATTTTTTCAATTGGAGTTTATTTCAAAAAACAATGCATGTAAACAAATCTGTGTTGTCTCTATTGCTACTGTAAAAAATTACCCACAAATGTAGCTGCTTAAAACAACATAAATCTACTCTTACATTTCTGAATGTTAGAAGTTCCAGGCTAAAATCAAGGTGTCAGCAGGGCTGCATTTCTTTCCGAAGGTTGTAGGGGAGGATCCATTTCCTTTCTTTTTCCAGCTTCTAGTGGCCACCCACATTCTGGGTTAGTGGCTCACTTCCTTCATCTTCAAAGCCTGCAATGTCGAATCTCTCTGGCTTCTTCTGTGACCACATCTTCCGCTGATTCTCTTTTTCTGCTTTCCTCTCTTGTCTTTAAGAGTCCTTGTGATCACATTGGATCCAGCTGGATCATCCAGGCTACTAGCTCTATCTCAGTCAGCTGATTAGCAAACTTAATTCCACCTGCAACCTTAATTCCTCTGCTGTGCAACCTAACATACTGACAAGTACTGGAGATTAGGATACAGACACCTTCCCAGGACCATTACTCTGCCTACCACATCATCTGCATCTAAGTTTAGTTTTTAATTGCAATAACTAGCTCATCACTATTATTGATACATGCATTGCTCCAATTCTTTTTTTTTTTTTTTTTTTTTTTTTTGGTGTTCAATAACTTTTATTTTAGAAAATTGTAGTCATTCTCATAGATTTTAAATTTTTGTTGTTATTGATACATAAGTAGCTGTACATATTTTGGAGGTGCGTGTGGTAATTTAATATAATCATATAATTTGTAAAGATCAAATCAGCGTAATTGAGACATTAATCACCTGGAATATTGGTCTTCTCTTTATGCTAGAAACATTTGAATTATCCTTTTCCAGTGATTTTGAAATGTACAGTAGATTACTGTAAACTATAATCTACTGATGTATCAAACACGAGGTTTTATTTCTTCTATCAAACTATATATTTAACATCCATTAATCAACCTCTCTTCATCCCTCCTCCCCCTACCCTTCCTGGCCTCTGAAAACCACCAATCCAATTCCCATAAATTCTGATTTCTATTTTATTTAACCCTACTATGTCTTAAGTTTTGATACTATAAATTGACACAAATCACGTTTTTACAAAATGGTGGGGAATAGTGTATTTTTACTCCCAGTTATTTCATTCACCTTACTAATAGTAAAAACCATGTAGAAACCTCAAAAGCATTATGTACAAGCTTCAAGTATGGGATGATAGGGAGAAGCTGGATGGTTATTTCCTAGAAACTTGTACTCCAACTGTGGTCTTTGGACCAGCAGCATGAACATCATCTTCTGGAATCCTGTTAGAAATGCAGAATCTCAGGCCTCAATCCAGACCTACTCAATGGAAACTTGCGTTTTAAAAATGCGTCACTGTGGCCGGGAGCAGTGGCTCAATCCTGTAATCCTAGCACTTTGGGAGGCCGAGGCGGGTGGATCACGAGGTCAAGAGATCGAGACCATCCCAGTCAACATGGTGAAACCCCGCCTCTACTAAAAATACAAAAAACTTAGCTGGGCGTGGTGGCACATGCCTGTAATCCCAGCTACTCTGGAGGCTGAGGCAGGAGAATTGCCTGAACCCAGGAGGCGGAGGTTGCAGTGAGCCGAGATCGCGCCATTGCACTGCAGCCTGGGTAACAAGAGCGAAACTCCGTCTCAAAAAAAAAAAAAAAAAAAAAACACAAATAAAAATGCGTCACTGTTATTCAACATAGTACTAGAAGTCTTAGCTAGAGCCATCAGATAAGAGGAAGAAATAAAGGACATCCAAATTGGAATGGATGTTAAATTATCCTTTTTTGCAGATGATATAATCTCATATTTGGAAAAACCTAAAGGCTCTGCAAAAAAACTATTAGAACTAGTAAACAAATTTAGTAAAATGGCAAGATAAAAAAATGAACCTACAAAAATCACTAGCATTTCTATGTGCCAACAGTGAATAATCTGAAAAAGAAATCAAAAAAGTAATCCCATTTATTTACAATAGCTACAAATAAACTAAGATACATGGCCAAGTGCAGTGGCTCACACCTGTAATCCCAGCAGTTTTGGGGGCCAACACAAGTGGATCACCTAAGGTCAGGAGTTCGAGACCAGCCTGGCCAACATGGTGAAACCTTGTCTCTACTGAAAATACAAAAATTAGCCAGGTGTAGTTGCCGATGCATGTAACCCCAGCTGCTTGGGAAGCTGAGGCAAGAGAATTGCTTGAACCCAGGAGGTGGAGATTGTAGTGAGCCGAGATTACGCCACTGCACTCCAGCCTGGCGCCTGACGACAGAGCAAGACTCTGTCAAAAAAAACAAAAAAACAAAAAAATTTAATGGAGAAAGAATCATATCAATGATCCTGGATCAACTAGATAGATTAAAAAAAAAAAATAGATAAACCTTAACCTTTATCTCACATCATACATAAAAAGTAAACTCAAAATGGATTATAGATCTAGAATTTAAACTTAAAACTATAAAATTTCCAGAGAAAGCACGAGACAATCTTTGAGGCTTTGGGATAGACAAAGATTTCTTAGGACACAAAAAGCATCAACCATAAAAATTTAAAAATTAAAAATTTAGTTTAATCAAAATTTAAAATTTCTGCTCTTCAAAATATATCTTTAAGAAAATGAAATTGCAAGATATGAAAAGAAAATAGTAAGACATATCTAGCAAAGGTTTTGTATGCAAAATATATAATGCAGTGATAATAAAACTAATTAACAAAATGGTTGAACAGACACATCACAAGACAAGATATATGAAGAGATAATAAGCAAAAAAGATGTTCAGCATTATCAGTCATTAGAGAAATGAAAATTAAAACCATATACTCACTAGAATGCCTCAAATTAAAGACTGACAATACCAATTGTTGGATGTGAAACTCTCATACTTCTGATGAGAGTATAAAATCATACAACCAATTTGAAAAACTGTCTTGCAGTTTTTTGCAAAGTCAAACATACATTTACCATGTGATCCAATTCTACATAGGTATTTACTCAAAAAAAGTGAAAGTGTGCCCAAAATAACCTGTATATATTCACTTATAGCTAATTTAGTGATGGCCATCAAGAACTGGAAACACCCAAATATCAATACGTGAAAGAATAAACAAATTCTGTTGTGCCAATTCAATGAAATATTGCTCAACAATAAAAAGGAACAAACTACTGATACTCACAAAAACACGGATTGATCTCAAAAACAGCACATAGAGCAAAAAGTGGCCAGACACAGAAAAGTGCATACTACGTAATTCAGTTTATATGAAACTAGGAACGATCAATCTTACCTATAGTGACAAAAATCAGATCTTTGGATGCTTGGGTGGAGAAACTGGGATTAGCTGGGAGGGAACTGAGGAAAACTTTTTGGGGTGGTGAAAATGTTTTTGTCTTGATTGGAGAAGTGGTTCCATGAGTATATGTATACTTTTGTCAACACTTATCAAACTGTACGATTAAAATAAGTACACTCTATGTAAGGTTTCTTTACCTTAAGAAAGTGTATTTGTATATGAATTTATATATATTTGTCTTGATTTCATCAAAATAAAGTACTACAAGAAGTACAAAATAGGCCAGGCACAGTGGCTCACACCTGTAACCCCAGCACTTTTGGGAGGCCAAGAGGGGCAGGCGGCTTGAGGTCAGGAGTTTGAGACCAGTCTGGCCAAAGTGGTGAAACCCTTCTCTGCTCAAAATACAAAAATTAGCCAGGCATGATGGCATGTGCCTATAATCCCAGCTATTTGGGAGGCTGAGGCAGGAGAATTGCTTAAAAGGAGATGGAGGTTGCAGTAAGTTGAGATCACGCCACTGCACTCCAGCCTGGGCAACAGAGTGATACTTGTCTCAAAAAAAAAAAAAATTGGCATTTTCTAACTTTTTAATTTTTACCATTCTGGTGGGTGTATAGCTTTGTTTCGTTTTAACTTTTTATTTTGGCAATGATTTCAGACTTACAGGAAGTTGCAGGAATAGTACAAAAAATTCTGTCTGCGAAAAAGCACAAAATAGATCTAGACATGAGAGAATTACATTCAAAAGCAATAAAAATTTAATTCGATGTAAATAAGTAAAGGCTTATTTATACACTTGAAAATATATTGGAAAGCAAGATTGAAACCACCATAATGTATAAATCACAGGAGTGATGTATAGCTTCCCAGAGGCAATAGCCCACAAAACAGTATAAATCAAGAGAGTTCCTTTGCACTCTACCTGCTCCTGAAACTGAGACTGAACTGAGTTCCCCAAATTGTATTCTTTTACTGGTGTCTTTAAACTTTCCTGGGTTATTTTTCCTTACATCATCCACTATGATTTTTCAATTTATTTAAATAACAGTTAATAAGTTCTTATCTTCAATGCAGAAATCTGACCTGCTCCATGTCATTTTACCTAATTTACCAAGTTATAAAAGTTGATTTTGACTCTTTACTTTCACTCTTTTGTTAAGGATCTGGCTGCAATTGTCTGCAATCCCAATGCCCATCATGTATATGATTTCATGAAAAAAACTTGTCTCTGCCTTAGCTGCTTCATGGCACTTTTTACCTCCTCGTTCCTCAAGGTATAAATGAAAGGATTCAGCAAAGGCGTGACCACTGTGTAGAAGACAGACACCACCTTGTCAATGGAGAAGCTGGTGTCTGGCCGAGTATAGATGAAGATGCATGGCCCAAAGAAGAGGGCAACCACCATGAAGTGGGCCGAGCAGGTAGACAGGGCTTTCTGGCGCCCTTCAGCTGAGTGTTTTCGAAGAGAAACCAGGATGACTGTATAGGAGGTGACCACGGCCAAGAAACAGGTGAGGGAGATGGTTCCACTATTGGACACAATCAGTATTCCTGTGAGGTATGTATCTGTGCAGGCCAGCTTAATAACAAGAGGCACATCACAAAAGTAGCTATCAATTATGTTGGGGCCACAGTAAGGTAGACGAATAGTCAGGAAGGTCTGCCCTAGTGAGTGAACAGTACCCCCCAACCAGAGAGCAAAGACAAGCTGTACACAGACTCTCATGTTCATCACACTGGAGTAGTGGAGTGGAGTACAGATAGCTACATAACGATCATACGCCATAATGATCAGCAGAAAGATCTCAGCACAGGCAAAGAGATGGAGGAAGAAGAGCTGTGTGATGCAGTTGTCAAAGGAAATGGTCTTTCTCTCCAAAAGCAAACTTTCCAGCATCTTAGGCACGGTGACAGATGAGTGACAGATGTCAATAAAAGACAGATTGCTCAGGAAGAAATACATGGGGGTATGGAGACGTGGAGTAAAGACTGTGGCAATGATGATGAGAATGTTCCCCACAAGCGTTAGCACATAAATGGCTGAGAATGCCATGAAAAGCAGTATCTCCAGCACCCAGTTATCAGTGAGTCCCGAGAAGACAAATTCAGTCACTCTTGTTTGGTTTAGAGTGTCCATTCAATGAGCTTGGGGGAGAAAAATGAAAGCTAATTTACTTTTATTGTTATAGGAAGAGAACTAATTGAAATGACTTGTGTTCCTATCTGAACTGCTTATCTATCATCAGAGCATATAGCTTACAAAATCAATTTAACAATAGTTGTTACAGTATACCCACTACTTACCAGAAGCCATGCCAGGCACTTCTATTTAAACACAACCACACCATGGCACAGGAATCAATTGTTTCCACTTTGCAGATGAGATCAGTGAGTTTTGTTGTTGTTTTTTTTTTTTTTGAGACGGAGTTTCGCTCTTGTTACCCAGGCTGGAGTGCAATGGCGCGATCTCGGCTCACCGCAACCTCCGCCTCCTGGGTTCAGGCAATTCTCCCGCCTCAGCCTCCTGAGTAGCTGGGATTACAGGCACGAGCCACCATGCCCAGCTAATTTTTTGTATTTTTAGTAGAGGCGGGGTTTCACCATGTTGACCAGGATGGTCTCGGAGATCAGTGAGTCTTTACAAGAATAAATAAATTGCCCAAAACCTTTATCCATTAGTTATTTGGCTCTTTTCACTTCAAACTGATGCACTGATAACATTAAGCCAATATTCCAATATAAATCCCAACTAAATAATTTGACCCTTCCTATCAAATTAAATATACATTCAAAGCCTGCAACAGTCTGCTGCACATTTTCATTTTTTTCAATGTAAGTGTCCTCTTATTATCCCTATTAATTCTTCTCTCCAGCCAAGCAAGTCACTGTCCTCCAGGCATCCTACCTCTGCTTACTTACTTTCCAAAATCTTTGTCTTTAGTTATTCTTTTCCCTCTGCTCGGAAAACATACACTCTATTCAAGTGTACTCTCCTCACCTCATTGCTGCCTATTAAAATACAAACAACCCCCATTAAAAAGTGGGCAAAGGACACAAACAGACACTTCTCAAAAGAAGACATTTATGCAGCCAAAAAAAAGGGGAAAAAAAAGGCTCAACATCACTGATCATTAGAGAAATCCAAATCAAAGCCACAACGAGATACCACTGGCTACTATGAAAAAGTCAAAACACAACAGACGAACATGTGCTGGTAAGGCTGTGGAATAAAAGAGACACTTTTACACTGTTGATGAGACTGTAAATTAATTCAACCATTGTGGAAGATAGTGTGGCAATTTCTCAAAGATCTAGAACCAAAAATACCATTTAACCCATCAATACCATTACCAGGAATATACTCAAAGGAATATAAATCATTCAATTATAATGATACATGCACCATGTATGTTCATTGCAGCTCTGTTTACAACAGCAAAGTTATGGAATCAACCTAAATGCCCATCAATTAAAGAAAATGTGGTACATAACACCATGGAATATTATGCAGTCATAAAAAGGAACAAGATCATGTCCTTTGCAGGGACATGGATGGACTTAGAAGCCATTATCCTCAGCAAACTAACTCAGGAACAGAAAAGCAAACACCACCTGTTCCCACTTATAAAGAAAATGAATAATGAGAACACATGGACACACTCTACACCTGTGGAGGTCTGGGCTTAATACCTGAGGATCTTTGCAGTAAACCACCATGCCACACATTTACCTCTTAAACAAAACTTCACATCCTGCACATGTAACCACGAACTTAAAAGTTGAAGAAAAAATATGTTATTTATTCTTCACTTCATCTTTGACTATTTCAAAGAGTGCTACCTTTAAGAAAACTTTCCTGATCCAATCAAAGCCTACCTATTCGCTTTCAGGCTTCTTTCGTGATCCTTGTCTGTAAAATAAAGTAAAATAAGATGTTAATTTTTGCTCTCCATTAAATTAAAATTTTTTTAAGAGTAATAACCACACAGGACTTATCGTTCACAGCACTTAGTAGGTGCCTTGAACATAATGAGTATACAAAAATAATTTTACTTAAACTGAACCAAACTTCTTAGGCAGCCTGAAAAAGAACTCAAGTTTTCCGTCACAGTGGAGCTAAGAAAATACTTTAAAAACTTACTTCCGAGGAGATCCAAGATGGCTGATTAGGAGCAGCTCAGGATTGCAGCTCCCAGTGAAAGCACAGAAAGTGAGTGGATGCCACATTTCCAGATGGATTTTTATTGCCCACAGACCAGGAGATTCCCAGGCAGAGGAGCCCCATGGGTCACCAGCACAGCTGGTTTGGCCAGCACGGCTGTTTTCACCAGCGCCGCTGTTTTGCCAGCACCCAGGCACAGCGGTTCTCCATACAAAATACATGGGTCCGGGCGCCATTTTAGCTGGCGATTGGAGCTTTGGGAAGGCAGAGTCACCCATTCATCTGATTTAAAAGGGGACTGAACCAGGGAGCCAGGCCAGGAGATTCCCGGGCAAAAAAGCGCCATGAATCTCAGCCTGGCTGTTTTAGCCAGTGCAAGCACTGTGGGTCGCTCCATGGAAACATCACACAGATCCCAGCACCTTTTCAACAGACGACTGAAACACCTGGGAGAGTTGACCATTCAACTAAAAAAAAAAAAAAAAAAAAAAAAAAAAGGCTCTGAGGCAGGGAGCCAGGTGATCAGGCTCAGCAGCTGGTCCCACCCCCGCAAAAGAACAGCCATCAGAAATGCTCTGGATTGAGAGTTTCACAGCAAGCACAGCTGAACTCAGGACAGTCAAGCTCTGTAGGGGAGGGGCGTCTGCCATTACCGAGGCACTCCACCACTATGGAGGTAGTTTGCCATTGCTGAGGCAGCCCACCGTTGCTGAGGCAGCCCACCATTACAGAGAGAGTCTGCCATAATAGAGGAGGGCTGCCATTGCTGAGGCAGTTCTAACTACACCCGTATAAACAGGACTGCAGGGAAGTTCACACAGCAGCTGGGCAGAGCCCACAGTAGCTCAGCAAAGCCTCTGCAGGCAGACAGTGACTAGGCTGCCTCCTTGCGGAGCAGGACAGCCTTGAAAAAAGCCAGCAGCACAACAGAAACTCATAAACAAAGCCCTAACTCCCCGGGACAGAGCACCTGGGAAAAAAAAAGGGAGTGGGGGCTTATGAGTTTTGCTGCAGCAGACATAAACGTTCCTGCCCAGCAGCTCTGAATGAACATGGAGCTCATAGCTCAGCACTTGAGCTCCTATAAAGGACAGACTGTCTCCTCAAGCAGCTCCCTGACCCCTGTATATCCAAAGAGTCACCTCATAAAGGAGAGCTCAGACTGACATCTGCTGGGTGTCATTCTGGGACAAAGATAGCAGAAGAAGAAACTGGCAGCAACCCTTACTGTTCTGCAGCCGCTGCAGGTGATCCCCAAGCAAGCAGGGCCTGGAATGGACCTCAGCAGGCCTACAGCAGAGAGGCCAGACTGTTAGAAGGAAAACTAAGAAACACAAAGAAATAACTTCATCCCTAACAAACTGGACATCCACTCAGAGACCCAATCTGAAAGTCAACAACTACGAAGATGACAGGTGGATAAATCCACAAAGATAGGAAGAAAACAGTGCAAAAAGGATGAAAACACCCAAAACCAGAATGCCTCTCCTCCTACAAGGGATTACAACTCCTCACCAGCAAGGGAACAAGGCTGGATGGAGAATGAGTGAGATGAATTGACAGAATCAGGCTTCAGAAGGTGGTTATAAGAAACTTCTGTGAGCTAAAAGAACATGTTCTAATCCAATGCAAAGAAACTAAGAACTTTGAAAAAAGATTTGATGCAATGCTAATGAGAATAAACAATGTAGAGAGGAATATAAGTGAATTGATGGAGCTGAAAAACACAACATGAGAACTTCATGAAGCATACACAAGTTTCAACAGCCAAATTGACCAAGCAGAAGAAAGGATATCAGAGGTTGAAGATCACTTCAATGAAATAAAACGAGAAGGCAAGATTAGAGAAAAAAGAATAAAAAGGAATGAACAAAGTCTCCAAGAAATATGGGACTATGTGAAAAGACCTAATCTACCTTTGATAAGTGTACCTGAATGTGACAGAGAGAATGAATTCAAGCTGAAAAATACTCTTCAGGATATCATCCAGGAAAACTTTCCCAACCTAGCAAGGCAGGCCAATATTCAAGTCCAGGAAATACAGGAAACACCACAAAGATATTCCTCAAGAAGAGCAACCCCAAGGCACATAATCATCAGATTCACCAGGGTTGAAATGAAAGAGAAAATGCTAAGGGCAGCCAGAGAGAAAGGTCAGGTTACCCACAAAGGGAAGCCCATCAGACTCACAGCAGATCTCTCAGGAGAAACCCTACAAGCCAGAAGAGAGTAGGGGCCAATATTCAACATCCTTAAAGAAAAGAACTTTCAACCCAGAATTTCATATCCAGCCAAACTAAGCTTCGTAAGTGAAGGAAAAATAGAATCCTTTGCGAACAAGCAAGTACTCAGAGATTTCATCACCACCAGGCCTGCTTTACAAGAGCTCCTGAAAGAGGCACTAAACACAGAAAAAAAACAACCAGTAGCAACCACTTCAAAAATATACCAAATGGTAAAGAGCATCAACACAATGAAGAAACTGCATCAACTAATGGGCAAAACAGCCAGCTAGCATCAAAATGACAGGATCAAATTCACACATAACAATATTAATCCTAAATGTAAATGGACTAAATGCCCCAATCAAAAGACACAGACTAGCAAATTGGATAAAAAGTCAAAATCCATGGGTGTGCTGTATCCAGGAAACCCATCACACATGCAAGGATACACAAAGGCTCAAAATAAAGGGATGGAGGAAGATTTACCAAGCAAATAGAGAGAAAAAAAAAGCAGGAGTTGCAATTCTCATCTCTGATAAAATAGACTTTAAACCAACAAAGATCAAAAGAGACAAAGAAGGACATTACGTAATGGTAAAAGGATCAATGCAACAAGAAGAGCTAACAATCCTTGATATATACACACCCAGTACAGGAGCACCCAGATACATAAGGCAAGTTCTTAATGACTTACAAAGAGACTTAGACTCCCACACAATAATAGTGGGGGACTTTAACACCCCATTGTCA